CCTGGAATACCGTTCCATTTCCAGCTCGCCAGGACCAAACTATTCGTTCTGTGAACCGCGGTAGTATATTCAGAAACTTGTATTGTTTGCAGAACTCCATCTCGATTATGCCTCTGATAATTTTCATCAGAATTCAGGGCTTATTTAATTATTTTGCGCATCTAGAAAAAAAAATTATGTTATTTGGATCAAATTAGTATCATTAAAAATTTGTTTTTATAACAACTACTAATTAAATTTTTGACGTGTGCAAATTAATAATTAATTATGTTACACATAAACTAAATATCCCTGAGATATATATATTTCTATAGAAAAAAGTAGTACACATTTCAGATATTTATATAGATTTAAATGAATTACACCAAAATATTTCTAAATCCGAATAAACATTACCGTTCACATCATTTTCAAAAATAATTTTTTTAATATTATTTTGTATTGATATCGCAATAACACCTCTGACGAATTAGATTTGTATTTCGTTTAGGAAATTCCGCGCACCAAATGACTTATTTTCGTCGAGCGTTTTGTGTCTTCTAAAAATATATCGAAGTGTTGAATAACTTTGAACATTCGATAACGAGAGAGCACGTGTGCTAATAATTACACAAAGTTTTATTATTCATGCGTAATAATTCAGGAAGGTCAAGGACGAAATCGATAAAATAACAAAATTAAAGAAAATCTTAAGTGAGATACGCGGGAAAATTGTATTCTAACATATATCTCGTGAAATCCAAGAAAGAGAATTATAAGACACGAATATACATATATGTATACGTATAAATATACTATTATTTACCATAAATAAAATATTTTTTACTGAAGATTTTTTACTGAAATAAAATTAGGCCAAATAAAATTAATCCAATTTTAATTTATTAATTATTTGAATTAATAAATTAAAATTGAATTAATTAATTAAAAATTAATTCGAGATGTTAAGATATATGTTATTTGTATGTTAAACAAATTCTCTTAATCCCAATATTGCCTTATATTCATATCAAATATTGAGGATTCTTCTTCGCGATAAAAATCACATTAATTGTTTCATCATTTTACAATTAAAAATAAATTAAATAAGATAGTTACATCTTAATTTTTATTCTAATTATTAGCAAGATGTACTTATTAATAAATAATTCTCAATTCGTTTTGAATCTATTCTATTAAAATATAAAATACGCAAAGTGTTTATTATAAATTATGCGGAAATAAAAAATAAATATATTAATTTTTAACTTAAGAGTTCTCATATTTTTTTCAATATGTATGATTTTTCAATATTTATGTGGATTTATTTGACAACATCAAATATTCTACCTGTTGATTAGATCGACATTCTTTTAACTTATCTCCTGATTTGTTCGATGTGCTGAATGAAATTGTACTGATAAAACTGACAATTCAATTATTTTCGCTACTTCAATTAACATTAATATGCGCGATTCATAGTCACAACGCTTTCCCTTTTTCAAATAAACACAGGAAACTGAACACTTGACTTCCGTTTGACACTTTCGGTTGTGCACGCGGCATTGACGAGAGACAGAGGAGTCACACGCGTTCTCCCTTCCCAATGGTTCGCGGTCTACTGAGATGAGATCTGAACAGAATGCAAATGGTAATTCCACGTGTACGCTGAATCACTGATGAAAGAGAAAATCCCCCGTGGATATGGCAAAAATATTGAAACTTGTATGATTTTGAGCTAAAATATTGATATAACATAAAACTAACTGCCATTTGCAATAAACGCGATTTTTGTTTTAAATAACACTTTAAGTTCCTTCTTTATATTCCTCATTCAGAATTTAGAAATTTGGTTCTACAAAAAATAGAATTCAAATGTTTTAATTATTATACGAAATACTAAAAATAAATATTTCTTTAAATATAATAAAACAACGTTATGTTTTTCGATATAAGACGGTATATAATGTATTAATATTAAAATATAATTTTAGTGGACAGACTAAATATTGCAGGTTAATGAAATTATAATAATAAGTCACTACATTAAAAAGGTCGTCATGCAATAAATGATTTATAAGAATCTAAATTCAACATAAAAACTATCTATTTAAGCGGTGTCACAATATTTTTTTGTGAAACAAATAATATATGTTGAAATAATAAAATTCTCTCTCTCTCTCTCATAAATGTAAAATAAAAATACATTTAAAATAAATTTTAATTATTATATACGTAAATAGATGTAATTTATTTATAGATGTAATTTTTTTTGTTCCCTAATATAATAAAATTTATGCAAAGGAATGTGCGTTAACGATGGATTCTTTGATTGTTTTTTGTTTTAGAGTCAGAAATAGAAAAATATACTCTTTAGTCCTTGATTTTTTGCTGGAAAATAAATTAGGCAGACATGCATCTTTGCTGAAACGTCTGACGTCTCAGGAGCCATTATGGCATTACATCTGTAATTGTATAACAAAATCAACAAGAATTACATTGATCCTATTAATGGACCTCGATAGCTTCTCATAAATTGCATTAGTCACAACTAATTAATTTTACCAGCGAAAAACTTCTCATTTACATCTTTTTTCGATGACCCTTTCGTATTTTGAACTTTTATCTTTACTCATTTTAATATTTTATCGACATACAATAATATTCTCTTTATTAAACTAAAAAAATTAAATTAATATTAATTAATGAATAATTGAACAATACACGATCTTATCGGGTAAACATTCGAAATACGTTATAATAGCGTTTCCTTGAGCACTATTTTAAAACATGATTTGCTCTATTTGCTTATCTAATGGATAATTAATTATTGACTGTAATTTCCTGCCTCGAAGCTTGTAATAAATTACATTTCCCAGTAAACGCATCGGACGTGATAAGAATCATCAGTCGCTTCTAATGCGTTTTCTAAAAAGTATATTATTCGCGAGTAACCAGTTTATTGAGTATATAATATACTATCTATATAATATTTCGTGGAATTTTCTTAAGAAAATGCGCGCGCATATTACTCGATTTAATTTGTTATGCTGCAAAGTGCATCATGTTAATAAATTGAAAATTAATTGTTTTTAAATACAACGAATGCAATAATTTGATACAAAAATCGCGACGAAGATTAGTCAGTAACCTCCTTTTAAATCTTACATACTTGATACTTTTATATGAAAAGTAAGTTTTAAGCCTAATCTACAATGTGTCCTTTACTCCTTATTTCTTGCTCTTTATCTCATGTCTTTTTTCTTCTTTGCGACTGTTTTTCTCCATAATCGCATTTATTCTCGATACTTTTACATAAGACACATTTAGTATTGATTTCACAGAACTAAAATTTCGTTTCCATTATAAAATTTAACAATAAGAATAAATGAATTGCTTACTACAAGAAACGCCTGCCTTTTGATTAAAAAGTTAAATTAATAAACACATTTCAGAAATTCATTGTCTTTTTAATGAACTTATATGGTGCACATGGACATGTATATTAAATTACTAAAATTTCGTTTCCACTATAAAATTTAACAATAAGAATAAATGAATCGCTTACTACAGGAAACTGCCTTTTAATTAATAAGTTAAATTAATAAACACATTTCAGAAATTCATTGTCTTTTTAATGAATTTATATGATGCACATAGACATGTATTTTAAATTACATATATTATGGATTACTTTATTACACATATCTTAAGTATTTTTGAAAAAAAATAGATGATCAATTCAAAATGTGAGTGTGTGACGACTATACTTGCTGTTATAATAATATGAATGCAAATTTGCACAGAATAGACAATGATAATTTTAAATGCTTTCTCATACCGTTACAACAGTTAGTATAATTGTCACACACTCACATTTGAATTAATCATCATCTATTTCTTTGTAAAATTACATTAACCAACCTATAGAGAGCCTCACAGAAAAAGAGTGGCAAACTCTCTAATCCAACCGAGTCGCGTTTTCGATAATGTACTGTCCGTTACCACGAATTGCAAACGACTAACTGCCTATTACTTGAAGAAGCATTTGCTGTTTCAAAAAAACCATAGGAGGTCAAATACTGGGGTACACGACTCCTATGTTGAAGAAATGTAAATATTGATATCTTTAGTTAATATATGTGTATTAAGTATATCATCTTATCTAACCGACAGATCATATAACTCTACAGTTTATTACATATTTAATAAAATTCTAAATACACACACATATTGTTATTAACTTACATATAGAGAAGAAAAAATATTTTGAGAATGTTTTTTTTCTAATATAAATTTTGTAATAAGATTATAGAGTGTTAAATCAACATAACTTGCTTACACGAAGAAATTTTATAAAGTAATTAAATCAAGAAAAATATATTGCGTTTCAAATTCAATAATAATTTTTATGATTTGAGAAGAAACAAAATATCAGATAAAGATAACAATATCTTCAATTCAAGAATCAGAAGTAGTTTACTTGCATCATGGGAATTTCCAAACCACGGAATGATTATGGAGATCAAACTCGAGGTCTGAAAGTGGGCTCGAAACACGGTGTCGGAAAATTCATGGAAAATCCGGCAGATGTGATTTTAGTGCCATCGCGCCTTGCGGGAAAGGTTACAAGTATTGACTGTCACGTGGTCACAAGTCACACGTATGATGTGTGCATGTAGTAGTATGTATGTAGATACTATGTCACTTCTAATTTTTCTCGCGATGACAACACTAAAATCACATCTGCCAGATTTTCTATGAGTTTTCCTACACCGTATTTCGAGTTCACTTTTTTCGTGACCGGCCGCTTGAGTTTGATCTCCTTCTTATTATTCCGTGTTCCAAGCCTCATACGAAAAAAACCATTAGCTGTGATGGCCAATGATGGCGCTCGCGCGTTTCTATTTCGACCATTCACTTGTAGGACTGCGTTCGGAAATATCACTCGAATGACCCTGTATTTTATCCTTGTTGTTCACCCAATGTTAAATAAAGACAAGGTGATGCACAGAGGCATCCGAGTGATACGATATTTCCGAACGCAGTCTTGTTTGTGTAAAGTGGTGTGTTTTGAAACACGAGGATGTAAATGTTGTCATCCGTCCCGTGTTCGCGGATGTAACGGATGTAACGGGTAATGTCGAGTAAAATGAAACGATATGTCTCATTCGACGCAACTTTTTAGCGGGCTGCTCATCCTTCTGTCGGTGATCGTACTGTGCGATGGCGCGGACACGTATGAGATCGACTGCAATAACCTGCGAATGGGACAGTACATTTGTCCTCATCCTGATTACGATTTCATAGATCCAAAAACGCAGCAACCCCGCGGCTGCACTAAAGAAAACAAGGCCAAAGGTAGGAGCTTGACTTCGAGCGTCGGGATTGGGATTTCGGTGTATCCCTAACCTTAATCTCACACATTCTGACATTTCTGATGTTCTGTTGCTATATTTTTAACGTAAAATAAGACAGACGCATATCTTCTTGCATTTTAAGAGAGTTAAGCGTAGACAATTGGAGCAATTATCTTCATATTTCTTTATTGTTTATTATATTTTGTGTTATGCTGAACGTTTTTATATTATTATTCAAAATATCGTTCATTTTACTGTATTTAGAAGTAACAGTTTGATAATTATCTAGAATTATAATTTTTATAAAATTAAACTTGGATTTATATATTTTTAGTGCTATGTTTAGCTGCCGATGGCCTTATTTGTACAGAAACTAAGAATAACACTTTCAAGAAAGATATACCTTGCAAATGGACGTAAGTAATTAGATGATTTATGCTCTTTTTACCAATGTTTATTAACTATAATCTTGACTCGACTTGTTTTTCGTCTTTTTGTAGTTTTAATAATTAGAAAAAAATCAAGAATAAGTTAAATCAAAATTAGAGTTAATTTACATTGAAAGAAGTAAACTGTGAGCATGTAATAAATCTTCAGGAGTGTATCTGTTGAACTCATTCAGTTGTAAATTTTTTTATTCTAAATGTCAAGCATTTGTCAATTTTCTTTATGTTACATCTGCAAATTTGAATTATTCTTACTAAAATATACTTAATATTCATTCTTTTTTACATATATGTTGCTTTCTTGAAATTAATCAGTGTCTTTTAATTAACTTAAGTGTGTCTTATAGAATCAGTTAATAGCATATTATAGATTCTGTCAGCTTCAGATGATTAACTTTTAACTGGAACATATCTTGATAATCTAGAAATAATTTAAAAAGTAGTATTTTTTGAAACAATTTTTCAATACATATTTACATTTAGAAGCAATATATAAATGCTATCATAGATATTTTATTTACATTTTTTTCAAATAATCTTATAGCATAGTTTAAGAATATGTAATTGAACTTGAAAAATTCTTAAAGAAATGAAACTGATAATAAAAAGCTAGTAAGTTCCAGGGACACCTTACTTTAGTATAAAATGTGTTTTTGTTACATTAAGTACTTCAAGTTTATATATACAGTTTGTGAACTTTCATGTTTAAATTGTTGTTTTCAGAAATGGATATTCATTTGAGACATCATTACTGCTATCGATATTTCTTGGTATGTTCGGCATAGATCGATTTTATCTTGGATATCCTGCTCTAGGCTTGCTCAAGCTGAGCACGTTGGGATTTCTTTTTCTTGGCCAGTTCGCCGATGTCATTCTGATAGCTACGCAAATCGTAGGACCGGCGGACGGTTCACACTACGTGATGCCATATTACGGTGCCGGAATTAACATCATAAGGAGCAACAATTTTACATACAGAGTACCACAATATGATTGCTAAGAGAAAATAGTATATTCAAAGCCAATTGTAAATGACGACTTTTCTATACACGCACACGCGCGCGCGTGTGCGTGTGCGTGTGTATGTATATAATTGTATACTAATCTCTGTTTTCGTCGCAAGCAATAGTTGCGTTCAGAAATGTCGCTCGGATGCTTCCGATTCATCATCTGTCCTTGTTTAATATTTAATATTAATATTTAATATTTAATATTAAAAATATATATATATAATATATATATATATATATAAATTTAAACAGATGATGAATCCGAGGCATCGGAGGCATCCGAGCGACATTTCCGAACGCAGCCAACGATGTATAGATCCTAGAATGAAATCCTATATCATATATTGGGTCATATAAAAAGTATCCGCGGTTTTTTCATTCAAAAATTGAACAAAAAACTGCGGATACTTTTTAAATGACCTAATATATGTATATATATATATATTTATTTCAATGTAATTTGTTCTCTGTATTCTATTCTATAAGATGAACTGTGAAGGTTAACTTGTAGATATTCATCTTTCAATGAAAAATATTGTATATAAAGATTTACTACTGATTTATTGCCAGCTAATGATTAATTAATAAATTGTTGTTTTTATTTCTAAAGTTCTCTGTTATTTATTATGCTCTTCAGTCGATCAGGGTTTCTCAGAATGCAAATATCGTGATAATTATATTCCCGAATTTCGCAATTATGACTCAATCGGCCTTGAACGATTTATCGCGAAACTGTAAGCTACCTCTTAATATCGATGCATGGATGTAATTTAATTCGTGCGATCTCGCATGTATTTTCAATCTCTCGTTCCTCTGATATAAATGCGAAAATAAGAAGCGTTTATTATTATTACTTCCGTTAATCCTTATTTTCGTGCACAGAGCTCGGTAACGGTATTTCGTGCACGAACATCTTGCATTCTCGGAAATTCTAAGACAATGCCGACCGAAGAGGCATCACGTTGCAATTTCGCATTATATACATATTAATCGGCACGTTTTCGATATGAAATGTATAAATCTACATATTTCTCTTTGTGATGAGTTCTTTAAAGTTATCGTTTCATAAGAGTTGAAAAGACAGACGTGATTTATTAAATCGGGAAGACACATTATTGAGAGCCGCTTCTCGCATCATGACTTCAACTAAGAAGATTCTACTTCTACTTTTACCACTCGAAATTGTACTATTAATTGTGACAATATATCATTCAAATAATTCTGGGGTAAGTAATTTGATCATTACTTGATGCACATCTATAGATCTAATTTTTTAAAATAGGATAAAGATTACATTAATGAGAAAAACTTGCAAATCTAAGAATCAATGAAATGTTGAAGTAAAATATACTTCAATATATTTTAAGTGAAATAATAAATTACAAATATACCCAAATAACAAAATGTCTGCAGTCTTCTAGCAAACTGTCAGCAGGTTTAGGCAGAAAATGACGGCAGTCTGCTATCAATTGCGTCCGCATTAGACTTGTGTTCTGTTAACATCGCCTGTCGATATGTGAAGGCAAATTGTTAGCAGAAACTGAGCAGATCCTACAGACATTATCTGACGCTTGCAAATTCTGTTACGTTTTTTTCTAGCAGTCTATCAACAGTATTATGTACATTATTCTGTTGTTATTTTGTTGGTATAATGTGTAGCAGACATTTAAAAAAATCTGCTTTCTATAGACTTGGTTATTTGGGTATATATGTAGTATTTATATATATATATATATTTTTTTTTTTTAAATAAGAGGTGAAGTTTATCAAATATTATCACTGCTCGTGACTATTAAATTTTTATATCGAGGAAATCACTTTTGCAGTACAATGACAATACAGCTGTGGAACCGCAGATAATCAGGCGTCGACGAGCAATTAGGCGCGCCAATATACATTATTGCAAGTTCAATCAGTACTATGATCAAGAGGAAGGCCGTTGTTTAGGTGTGCCAGGAGGCGGCAAAGTACTTCACATTGAAAACAGACAATCATGTGGCATCAACGTCTTGAAGCCGCATTGTAAAAGCTCTCTATATTATCACATTTGCAAGCGTGACAAGTCGATCCTGGCACAATGTGCAAACAGGCAGATCTTCGACAATCGTTTGCAGCGATGCGTTTCCTACGATTCAAGTAATTTAACTCCCAGTATTATTCCACCAGACGACTACACATATTACGATCACGTTAGAATGCCACGTTGCACAAGATATGGTCGATTTCCCGTGCCTGGCCACTGTTCCATGTTTTACACATGCGATACGAACGGACATCGACTTCATCAGAGTGTCTTTAAGTGCCCACAAAATACGGGATATCAAGTGGACAGAGGAGTTTGCAACATTGTGGCAGATTGTGTGAATGACAATTCGGTGGATACTACAGTTTGTGTTCCAGATGCCCCGAGCGAAAATGTGGAATCTTCACGTCTCGATGAAGCTGTAGACGGAAATGTGAAAGAAATCTCAGAAATACTTAAAGAAAGTAAAGCCAACACACACGATCCTATAGTAGAAAAAGAGGAAAATGTAAATTTTAAGAATTTCGATGATATTATCACTACCCCTGTAAATATAATAGGATCACTGTCAGAAAATAATTATAACGATAACGATATGGAAGAGTCAAGTAACAACGCGAGTTCGTTAAATCCAATCAAAGAAGATTTAATTTCTGAAGGCAGCGACGAAAAGATAATGTACAGTCAAACTCCGAATCAGCTTGAAACTCTGCAAAAAGTATCTGACGAAGGACAGAACGAAGAGGATGGATCATCACTATTAAATTTACGAATTACATCCCCATTAACGACAGAACTCGATGACACACCGCATTCGATTGCGGAACAATATAGAAACAACGAAGACAGCACAGAATCTACTCCAATTAGTGACGTTTCACCGAATATAAATGAAAAAATGCAAGATGCAACTACAGAGCAATATAAAAATAACGAAGACGACATAGTGTCGTCATCAAATTTGAATACTGATTCTGATGATCTGTATTCGGCACCAACAATTAGTAATGTACCAGAATCGACTTCAATCAAGGATGTGTCATTAAATGCAGATGAAAAAATGCAAGATGCGATTACGGAACAAAATAGAAGCAACGAAGATAGCACAATGATGCCATCAATCTTTAATGCTGATTCGACACCAACAATAAGTAATATACCAGAATCCTCTCCAATCAGCAACGTGTTACCGAATATAGATGAAAAAATGCAAGATGTAATTACGGAACAATATGAAAACAATGAAGACAGCACATTGATGTCATCGAATTTCAATACTGATTCGGTTGATCAATATTCGACACCAACAATAAGTAATGTACAAGAATCTACTCCAATTAGCGACATATTACCGAATATAAATGAAAAAATGCAAGATGCAGCTACAGAACAATATAAAAGTAACGAAGACAGCATAGTGTCGCCATCGAATTTGAATTCTGATTCTGTTGATCTGTACTCAACACCAATGAGTAATGTATCAGAAATTTCTCCAAATAGCGATGTGTCGCCGAATGTAGATGAGAAAATGCAAGATGCGATTGCAGAACAAAATAGAAACAACGAAGACAGCACAATGATGCCATCGAATTTTGATACAGATTCGGTTGATTCGGCTTCACCAATAAATAATGTACCAGAATCTTCTCCAATCAGTGATGTGTCGCCGATTGTAGATGAAAAAATGCAAGATGCGATTGCGGAACAAAATAGAAACAACGAAGACAGCACAATGATGCCATCGAATTTTGATACAGATTCGGTTGATTCGACTTCAACAATAAATAATGTATCAGAATCTTCTCCAATCAGCGACGTATCACCGAATATAGATGAAGAAATACAAGATGCGATTCCGACACAAGGACATAGGAATAACGAAGATTACACAATGATGCCGTCGAATTTTAATACAGATTCGGTTAATCAGTACACGCCACCAATAGTAAGTAATGTAGCAGAATCTTCTCCAATTAGCGACACGCTGTCAAAGATAGATGAGGGAATGCAAGATGAAGCTACAGAACAATATAGAAATGACGAAGATAGTGTAGTGACTCCATCGAATTTTAATACAGATTCGATTGATAAATATTCTGCACCAACAATAAATAATGTACCAGAATCTTCTCCAAGCAACGTGTCACCGAATATAGATGAAAAAATGCAGGATGTGATTACAGAAGAATATAGAGACAACGAAGATAGCATAATGACGCCATCAACTTTGAATACAGATACGGTTAATCAATACCCGGCACTAACAGTAAGTAATACATCAGAATCTTCTCCAATTAGCAGTACATCATCGAAGATAGATGAGGAAATGCAAGATGCGGATACAGAACAATCTAGAAACAATGAAGACAGTACACTAATGCCATTGAATTCTGATTTGGTTGATCTGTACTCGGCACCAACAACAAGTAATATATCAGAATCCTCTCCAATCAGTGATATGTCATCAAATCTAGATGAAAAAATGAAAGATGCGATTACAGAAGAATATGGAAACAATGAAGACAGTATAGTGACGCCATCAAATTTTGATACAGATTCAGTTAATTCGGCTTCAACAATAAATAATGTACCAGAATCCTCTCCAATCAGTGGTGTGTCGCCGAATGTAGATGAGAAAATGCAAGATACGATTGTGGAACAAAATAAAAACAACGAAGACAGCACAATAATGCCATCGAATTTTGATACAGATTCGGTTGATTCGGCTTCAACAATAAATAATGTACCAGAATCTTCTTCGATCAGCGACGTGTCATCGAATATAGATGAAAAAATGCAAGATGCAACTACGGAACAGGACAGAATATAGAAATAACGAAGACGACACATCAAATTTCAATATCCAGTTAATCACAGATAGTCCGAGGTATGATAATTCTGATATATTATCTTCTCCATTGACACTTGCGATTTTGCCGCTACAAGCAGCTGTTGATCAAATTGTCACAGAAGGATTATCCGAAACTACTCCGTCAATAGACAGTAAAATTGCAGATGCTAGTTCATGCTAGTCATTTGCACCAGATGGAGTCGAAAATTTTTCTGCTCGATATTTACCGACAATACTGATGAATTATATTTAACACCAACGACGCAATCTCACTTTTTCAAAAGAAGTAACTGCACTGAGTGACATTGCAACTACAATACAAGACCCTATCTATTTCAGACATAGATCTGGTAAAATAGTAACGATAGCACGGAAATATCTCCTGCTTTTGTAACTGAATAATTATAAACATATATATATATATATATATACATCTTAAGTAAATTCATAAATTATATATAATTTTTTATTTAGACTATGTAGATATTGTCATTGTTAAAAGATGTATACTGTATAATGCGAATATGTAGATAAAATAATGTATTGTATGATTTGTAATTTTTTGATTCCCGTTTCTGAGGTAGCGAGCAATTTACATAATACATAAATCCATTTTTCTGTGTATATATTAGGTGTTGGAATTAATTCGTAGCGTTTTACAAGTGATGGGAAGTACTTTCATTAATGTATTTTTTAATGCTCATGTGAAATAAATAACATTCTTTCATTAAAAAACGCTACGAATTAATTCCAACACCTAATATATCGAGGTATAAAGAAAAAATTATTTTATAAAACGAGGAAATTGTAACAAATACCTTCTTATTATTTTACTTATATTAATCGTTTGTACAATATCATTTGTTTTATGTTTTATTACTATTACATGTTCTCTTTTTCCTGCTCGTTAACGAGCGTGTAATATACTCCTTTTCGTTTAATCAATTCTGAATGCTTGCCCATCTAAAAAAAACATTCATTGTTTATATATTATATATATTTATATAATAAAAATATGACGTTAATTTTATCGATTAAAGCATACCTCCACAATGATACCACGTTGTAACACGACAATTACGTCAGCTCCCTTAATAGTACTCAACCTATGAGCAATGACAAGAACTGTTTTACCTTTTGTAACATTTTCAATTGCTTTTTGAACGATTCTCTCGCTTTCATAGTCCAATGCACTAAAAACACAGACAAGATAAACATCAAGATAAATCTCATACAATCTTGCTATTCCTACCTTGTTGCTTCATCCAGAATTAAAACAGATGGTTGTTTTAATAAGGCTCTGGCGATAGCAACTCGTTGCTTTTGTCCACCAGAGAGCTGTGTGCCTCTTTCACCAACCTCGGTCGCGTAGCTGTCTGGAAATTTCATTATAAATTCGTGCGCATTCGCTTCTTTAGCTGCCTCGATGACCTAAATAGACTTTATGTAAAATATTAAGTATATATATCAGTACTTATATTAATTTAAATTCTATTTTTACCTCTTTGTCTGTTGCATCTTGTCTCCCATACCTAATGTTTTCCATAATGCTGGTAGCAAATAAAATAGGCTCTTGATTGATATAGCCTAAAACATTGCCTCTGAGATAACTTGAATTAAGGGACCTGATATCTCTACCATCGATAGTAATGGAGCCTTCATCAACATCATAAAATCTGTACAATTTTAGGTATAAATTTTTAAACTTCAAATAAAATACACGTGATTGTTGTAAAACCATACCTTTCTAATAATACAGCCACTGTTGATTTCCCATTACCACTAGTACCAACAATAGCCACAGTTTTCCCAGCGGGAATGTGTAAGTTAAAATTTTTCAAAATAACGTGATCAGGTCTAGTGGGATAGCTGAAATTTACATCTTTGAAAACTATATTCCCCGCCGGAGATTTATCCGTGATTATGTCACCACCGATCATCATTGACGAAGGCGGCATATCTAAGTACTAAAAAAAAAAGATATAATTAGTTTTTAATTCAGGAAAAGTTACTATAAAATTGTATAATCCAAATATATAATAAATTACCTGAAAAATCCTGGCTCCAGCACTCTGTCCTCTAACGAAAGTTCCGAAAAGCACTGATAACTGGCCTAAAGACTTTTGTATAGTTTGTGTAGCCATTAAAAATGCCATGAGATTTCCCGGAGACAATTGTCCTGTAGAGAGTAACTGCCCACCAAAGTACAGCGTGGAAAGTAGAATGCCGTTAAGCAGTAAATTTGTTCCTGCTTGAAAGAAGCTTATACCAAAACCTAATCGTTCGTATAGATCAGACGAACGTTCAATCTCTTTGTAAAACATTTCCGCTTCTTTCTTCTCCGCGGCGAAGGCTCTCACCTGATAAAAAAAAAAAAGGAAGTGCAGTGGATTAATATTGTTACGCATTTTTTTCAATTTATTATTTTTAAAATACCGTTCGGATGTTTTGTATTGCTTCCTCGCAGACAGCCGTAGACTTTGCAACTTGATTTTGTGCTTCCATCGACAGCTTGCGCAAACTTCTTCCCAATAAAGTACCGATAAAAATTATTGGGGGCAAACTGAATACCACAAGAGTGGTCAATTGCGGTGATATCACTATTACAGAGATGATACAACCAATAATTTGTGTGAAGCTTCTTAAACCTTGAGAAATGCAGATTTTAAATGAACTTTTAAAATCTTGAATATCACTGGTCAATCGACTTACTATTTCACCAGAACGCGTTTTGTCAAAAAACGTTGTGTCTTGCATAATAATGGACTTGAACAAATCCTGACGTAAGCTCAATGCAACTCTTTCACCAACGTGTGACAGAGTATAAATATATGCAAAAGTAAAAAATGCCTTGAAAGATAAAAATCAGATATTTAGGGAATATAAAAATATGTGGAATTTTATAAAGATATTGAAAAAAATATTGTAATTATCTTACATACTTGCGCAATGTACATGCGTGCCAAAATAAAAGCTGGTTGAGTAAGCTGGAAAATGACTTGTTTTGCAGAATCATTTTTATTCTGACATATTTCCGTTAATACATTTATAACACTTCCAACGCATTGCGGTATTTGTATATTTAACAATGCAACTATTAATGCACTCTAGAAATATGATGATTGTCAGTACATCATTTGCAATAATATAAGATTTATCAATTATTTTTGCACGTACTATAAATACTTACTGATAGTGCTAGTAATAAATACCAGATATGTGGGTATAAATACTTGAAAAATTTTATCCATTCAAAGATCAAGTCATTATCCGGATTGACTGGACTTATGTCACTTATTCTTTTGGCTTCTTTACAGAATACAATTCGATTATGTGATTTCAAAATACACGCAATCGTTACACCAAGTCCGCTGAAACTAAATTTCTGAATGTACAAGAAAAGCTTCGACTCATTCACATTTTCTTTGGCACATCTTTGAGTAATTTTACTAAATTCACGCTTTGCTGTCCCCCATAAGTTCTGACTTCTTCCTGGCAAAAAACACTTTTGCAAGTAATACCTGAAATTAATTAAATAAAAATTGATTTAACATAGTATCATTAAAATAATACGCTTATTATTGTCTTGAATCATTCTAATCTTAAATATAGGAAATTTTTATATATATTTATATATTCTTATACTCATATTTTTTCTTTAGAGATTATGTGTGGTATAATTGGATACACTTAGAGACAAAAATAATTCATGTTATCTTGAAATAATACAGCTATTATTGTGATATATAAATGATATATAAGTGAATATGTAATGCAGCATGTATAACATTCTTTATTATTTTTATGTATCATGTTTATATATTTTCTCTTTAAAGATTTATGCAATATAATTATAGATACAATTAGAAACAAAAGTAATTCATAATTACCTTGGAATAATAGAGCCATTATTATGACAAGTGAAAAACGCAGCACGTAATACAGACATTCTTGGAATATATTAATATTATAATTAGTGATACTGAATTAACGTTTATTAATTATGCCATGTATATTTCTTTTGGCGTGTATATTTCATTCATTAAATTCATGAAAACACATTACTAATGATTCTTAAATAGATACGATAATGGAATTTTTTTTCACTCAATTGAAAAGGTTAAGGCTAATAATATCGCAACCAAAGGCGCCGCCATGTTTCAACGTACCCATCGTACGTTCCATGATCTTCTCATAGATGGCTCTTGATGTATTATCTAGCCAGTTTGTTTTCGCGCTGTTTCGTGCTAGGTATAGGCCGCATTGGGGGAAATGCTATTAGCGCTATTTGTGTCATAAATGTCATAATTCTATCTTCATCGTCCATTAGACGTGAGACAAGGATATTATGACACAATGGCGCTGATAGCGCACATCCCGAACGGAGTCGTACTCGTAGCTCGTTTCGAAGTGCGCATGCGCGTTTTGAAGTTCGTAACTTAATTCGCGTAGAAGTGCGTAGAAGTGAGTTGAAGTAACGAATTTATCCTTGAAATTTTGTGACAATTTATCCTTGACAGCATTCGACGAGAAATCCCGGAGAAAGTGGCTTCTCAAGGCTCGGCTGTGACAATCGCGCGGTCTGCAGAAAACGAGGACAAATCTGGTAAGCTACTTTGAATCTTGCGGTTACTTTGGGTCTTGCAAGATAGGATTCTGTTGCTTATGGAAAAATACGCGCTATCGAGACACGGGAGATACAGAGAAAATAAAAGGCAATTACAAGCAACGAATTCCATGTCGAATCCTCACCGAGATTATTATATCAAATCTCTAGGTATCCTGTTTCATATATACAGCACAGACCTATGAAGGCTGTCTACAATGTGTGCTTTTTGTTTCCTGTTTTTTGCTTTTTGCTATTTATTATATCTTGCCTTTTTGCTTCTTATCTCGTTTTTCGGTTGCTCGAGATAAACGTTAACGAACTTCAGAAGAAACAGAAAACATATATCAAGAAATATATATGTTGATAAAACGATCACAAAGAGGAAAAAAGCAAAAAATAGGAAACAAAGAGCACATGTAGAACAACCATAAGGAATGTCCTACTCATAATCAGACAAATGCGTGCCCAAGACAGATTGCATCAACATTACTTTGACTTTGAGAGTTTTCAGAGAAATGAAAATTTTAAACCTTTACGTTTAATTAAAGTCAAAGTAAGTTGATGCAATCAGACCTAAAGGATGTCTTTTGAAACATACATATGTAGCCCGGTTCCACTATTAATTGTAAGATTATCTTTAATCTCGGTTCAATTTATTCTTTATCTTTTTCTAATTCTAACAGTTAGAGAGAAGAATAGTAAGTTAAGTCTAGTAAATTAAAGTTAATCTATATTGATGAAATCAAGCCTAAAAGATATGTAAAAGGTATCA